TTTCGTCATATTATAAATGAACTGCCGATTCGCTCCAACACTTTTGTCGGTTGCTGTGTAGGTCTTAAACACCGTTTAGGTCAAAAAGTGAAGGTGTGAAATGCCAACACGCTGTCGCCCCCACCCATTGTTTTGTTTGAATGCGTCAATCGTCTTACCAAGGTGCGCCCAGGCATGCCAGGTATGTTTACGTATTGTTTTGTAAATWCATTTTATTCATTTTGTTTGATTTATATTTTTTTGATTTCTGCATCAGATTGCATGACATAGATTYGGTAACTATCAGTCATGTAAAATTAATGRTATTTCGGATGGGACAGTAAGATCGCAAAGGAAATAAAGGCATTAAAGAAAATTTAAAAGATAYATAAATTTGGTTTTAAGGTTTAATATTTTCAGTGAGCTTATGCAAATGCTTTTTGAGGAGAGGTACTAAATTTGAGATAAATAACTTAGCAAATAAAAGTCGATTGTCGATTACCTTAAACGTTGCTTAATTGTGAAATTTCTTCTAGTGTATTCTGTGCATTCATTAACACATCACAACATCAACGCATCAGTGAATTTGGTACTTTTTAATACTCACAATAGTTCGAAACGTAGTTAGAAGTTATAAAAAGAGGAAATGTAAAGCAAGTAACTGGTTGAGCGTCGATTCCCTTTTACCGCTTCTCCGCGAATGCCACTYGTTGGGATGCCCGCTTGAAACTAAGACTACGCATTCAGGCTTTAAATTAACTATTCTCAAAGCAAAATAGCAAAACTGTTCAGAGAAACACCTGCGAAAGATGTTGGAATATAAATAGCCGCAAAGTTAGCCGCTAAGCAGCTTTCTCTTTTTTAATACCGCCTTTTAGTGAGTTAAAAAGCGTATGAATGCGTAAATATATCAAAAAATATGAATGTTTTTACAATGAGTTTGAATGTTTTCCCTCTTCTTGGAAGCTACTTAAATTCTAGCAATTGGTTTTCTAGTTAAATAAAGCTTTCGCTGCTATCTCTCCCTAATACTACCCTGCAAATAGCTGTAAAATATCGATCCACAAGCGAGAATATATACTTGCATAGGTATTTGAATAAATAATAAACTTATATATTTTTTTGAAGGCGAGAGAATTATTTCATAAATGCCAATGACGAAGAAATCATTTTGTAGTCTGCTTAAGAAACTAAATAAGTATTAAATTTTTTAAGTTTAATGGCATGATAATTACAAATATTACCATATACAAATATTACCATACCCTTTTTCTTAGTTTGATTTGCTTTTTGCTTCAAAATAGGCCTCAGTTTCAGCGATCACCTTTTCATTCGWTAAAAATTTTTTTCCTGCGATCATTCTTTTAGATCTGAGAACAAGAAAAAATCAATATGTATCAGATCTGGAGAATACGGTAGACGCGCAAGCAATTMGAAGCCCAGTTCATGGATTTTTGCCGCCGTTTTCACCGATTATTGATGCAGTACATTGACTTGGTGAAACAGCACTTACAAACGGTACAATAATGCTACATTCCTTCCTTTTTCAATGTAGTCAACCAAAATTATTCCATGTCCATTCCCAAATACAGACGCCATAATCATGGCAGTCGACTGTTGCGTTTTGCCACCCTTTGGAGCAGATTCATCGTATGCAGTCAACTCGAATGACTGTCGATTGGACTTCGCAGTGAAGTGATGGCAGCCTCTTAACTCGCCTGTTAATTTTCAAAAGTATCCTTGTCTTTAATTTTGATTTTTCTGCATTTTCGCGTTCTCATATAACAAAGCTTCYATGACAACTTGTAACTTCCTTACTCTTTTGTGTTTGAATTCAGCAGACACTCTCACTTTCTCTCGTTAATACAGACAAAAAAATCTGTTTGCATTTTTTACGCTTCCACTGACATCAATTACCACTTTTAATGGTT